TGCGTGGGGAGGTCGGAGTCAATGATGCGGGGTCGGCGTCGGGGAAGAGGACAGGATGAGCATGGTGAGGAGACCAGAGGGAGGTATGCTACATGGAAGCTAGATTTGCTAGATGGCAGCTAGAGCTTTCTAGCGGGGAGAGTAGAAGAGCGTGCGGCGTGCCTCGATACGGATACCATGCAACTTGCGAGTAGCACGAGAAAAGGCGGCAGACAAGGGGGTCGAGGAGACCAGGGTGTTTGTTCCATGCCCATGCCCATGGTGGTTGGCGAAGTACGATCCCGAGAGAGAGCTAGGGAAAGCTAGGGACCACGAGGATTACGAGGGCGCGGACCATGTTGGGATATTGCATACGATGGCGTTCGTTGGCAAGGGAGAGGAAGCAAAGCCAGCGTCTGGTCTATGCCCACTACGGAATTCCACGCGTGCGGGAGACGGCCTTCACTCCGGCACATGATGGATCACCCCATGCAGCCGGCTTCTCAGCTAGGTAGCAAGCTCCCTACTGGCGAGGCATCTGGATGGGGAAGAGGTCGGTTGGCGTTTGTAATGATGAACCGTGGTCCATGGGTCAAGCGTCCGTCTCCCGGCATGTCCCAGTGCGGCAAAGTGAGATGCGATATGAGGCGGGATCCAAGTTAACGCGCATCATGTCGAATCCACTGGGAGTCGCCGGCCGAACACCCTCTTGTCTCCATGAATGGATTTCATTTCGGGTTGGTATGCGTAGGAGAAAGTGACGACGGTGTCCGTTTGGTCGCACAAAACGTGTCACACGCTTCCATCTCTCTTGTCTTGGTGTCTGTACTCTATGGTTTCGGGCATGGTACAGGTTGCGCTGTAGCAGACCAGAATAGGAAACAGTGAAACGAATGGCACGTAGTAGACCCGTTGGAAAACGACTCTCGATTACTCAGTCATGGCTGGCCTTTGTCGCGATACAATTCTGAATGGCTCCGTTGCAGTGGTAGCGATAGCTGTGATGTTGCGCTGTCGGAGCAGTGTAAGAAACGGATGGAGTTGAGGGCCAAGAATAAGCAGGTTGGAACGCTAGGAATAGCAACGGGGGTTCGATTGCGGCGATAGTGTGCACTGTGAGAAGTGAGAAACAACGCCAAACGGAGCCAGGAAGGAACGAAAAAAAGTTACCTTAGTCAGGGCCGCGAAAAAGGGTTAGGTTGGAGCGAGTGCAGAAAAAGTTTGCGCCTCACACGTCCAGGAGGTCTTGGCTGTCTGTGTTGGGGTTTGGTCTGTGGAGAGTTGGATGGGGGCGATTGAGCAATGTTGCATCGCGGCCGAATCCTTCGATGAAGCGGGAGGGAAGAGGTGTGTGTGCGTTTGTGTGATTGCGTGTGTGGGAGAAGAGGAGAGGAGACCGGAGGGAATGGAAGATGAGCAGCAGAGTCAGAGTCAGAGTCAGACATTGGAGATGGTCAGAGGTAAGGAGTACGTACTCTTCCATTAGATGTTGGATGACGGGAGATGTTGGATTTGGGAAAGAACGAGGGAAATGCAAGACAAACGAATGGGAGGCACTTGAGCAGCATGACCCACCAGGTCACGATCACGCCTGCCTTCATTTTGTCTTCTCTTCACGATGATTTAGAGTTCCTTCCCGGTCCAGCAGGGACCTGAACCTAAGGGAGAGCAAGACAAGGAAAGCGCGCCTTCACTGGCGTCCCGTGACTCCTCTCCTTTCCTTTGTCGATCGGTTGCTGCCTTCCAGAAGGAGCGCCAGAAGACATCCCGCCCACCAAGGTAGATACGTACATCGTAAGCAATCGACCTGAGGGAAGTCACGCTCGACTCCGGATATCTCAGTTGCACCTTCTTCGCGCGAGACTGTGCTCCTCTCAAATTATGCTTCTTCCATGCCTCGCACTACTGCCGCCACCTGGTTGCAACTTGCGAGAGAGGGGGGGAACAAGCGACACCAAAATCGCCAGCGCCAATGCCAACACCAACACCACAAATCGCAAGCGTGGGAAAGGAACGCAGGCAGGCGGGCAGACGGGCAAGGATGGGCCACGCTGACCAGACGTCGGCCAAGTCGCCAAGACGCAACGGGCGATGAGTCTGCCAAGAAAGTGCTTGTGTCCTCCTCGGCAAGCCATCCCGTCACGCCAAGTTGCTCGGCGCTGCGAGGGAGTTGAGTAAATTGTCGCCGCACTTGACGACGTCGACGACAACTGAACAATATCAATGAGGCGAGGTCACAAAATGTCGTCAAGTGAGGTCGTTTCGTCGATTCCAGCAGAGCGGTTCGCGAGATCAAACGAACACGTCTGACACGTTTGACAGCTCCGCGAACAGATTTCCCCCAGATGATCCCCCATTGGATTAGCAGATAGCCGATCCCGCACTGATGGGTACTTAGGTGATGGGTGATGGGCAATGCCCGCCCAATGCACTAGCAGCCAGCCAGCGTCCGTCCCACCGTACAAGATGATGGGGGAACGGGGAAATAAGCTTAACGGGCGTTGTGGCCTGATACTAACAATTTAGCACCATCCGTATTACTGCCGACTACTACTGAAAAGAATACAATGTCTCTCATCTGTGTTGTCTCTTGGCCAATGAGAAATGTATCATGGGCCATGGTGGAGGGCAAAAATACAAGTGACAATGGAAGTCGAGGAAATTCGCGCACTGCTATCCGCCAATGGCCATGTACCTAAGTGTTGCAACTTTGGAACCCAGTTAGTTGCCCAAGCGTCAATACCTAGCAAATGGCACGCTACAAATACCTAGGTAGTACATTGGTGCGTGTGAGTGTCCACCAACCCGGACTACTGCGTGTCCATTCTTCTTCATCCCCGCGACCCTTTCAATTCCCCAGAGATTCTCAAGTCGGGGCCCCAGGATGGTCCGTCGAAACTGTCAAATGGTCTGCTGGCTCCGTATTACTTGCGCATTCCTGGCATGGCCACGATACTCGTCACCTTTGTGGGCGTCTAGTTGGATAGTCCGTCGGAAGGCAGTTCCACCCCTACTGTCACTGCCTCTGCCACTAGCTGACACTTGCTCCTTCCCTACCTTACTTCCTTCCTTCCACCGTTTCTCGATACCTCGTACCTTCCCCCGTCGCTTGTGAGGAAAATGACAAAGACGGTTCTTGGGAAGGCACGACCGGGGACAACCGGGGGCTCCCTCCGTCGGGCGCAACACCGATAGCGCCAACGTCTCCACTTCCCCCTCCTCTGGCCTGCGAATCTTCGGCCATCTTCCGAATTATTTTCTCACAACTTCACCACCTCTGCCCAATGGTATCTTCCGTATTCGCCCCCTCACATTCTCTGCATCACCGTTCCCCACGGGCAAATTTCCCCAATCTCTGTTTCCCCGGCCTCCAGATGTCAAATCTCCAGTCTAGCAGGTCTAACAAGGACTGGAGTCTGGAGTCATCCGCCTGAGATCGTTCTTCAATCCACCTCATGCCGAGTCATGCTGGGTCAAATGGCCCGAGGCCAAGGTATGGATACTCCATAGTCGCATCTAGGGATCCTCTCTGCTGGTCATCACCACCACCAACTGAACCATCCACGGGCTACGGTTTATCATGAGTACACGACATCGCAATGTTTGCCAAGACTTTGTACCCTCAGAAACCACGCCATTGCCTCTGACTTGCTTGCCGCCAACGGAGCGCCAGTCAGCCAAAACTCCTCCCACATCCCAGTCGCTACATCCAAGCTAATGTACCGCACAGAGCAATCATACCTGGACTGCTTCCAGAGAAGCCCAAGAGGCTGATAGCCTGATGCGACTTGCCCCGGCACTCGACCTCTCCGACCACCGCTGACCACTCACCTCACCTCACCGGCCACCGTCCCTCCTCTCGCCTCGACTTGCCCGCCCCTCGTCTAAACTCAACCTGGAAGGACGCCCGCCCCTCGCCGTAACGTGGGAGAGTCCTTCAACCACGTATCGACCGTCCGTAATCACAAAAGTGTCTCTCGACCGAATCTCGTTTCCCCGTCTCCCCATCTTCCCCACCTCTCCAACAACATCTCCCCCGTTCAACCCCAAACCCCGAGTATTCCTTGCGGAGAAGAACGGGTCCATCATCCTCGCCAAACCGGGCCCTTTTCGCAAGCGCAACAACACCTGGCCGGCCATGCGCCTGTCTGCACCAGTGCATTCTCCCATCACCCCACCTCCGTCACCACCCACCACTCGACTATGCTCCGGCGCGCATCCTAATCCTTACCGCAACGAGGCAAAACATCTGCAGGCGCATCTCCCGAGCGTTTCGAGATCCTTTCCAGCCTTCTGGCCTCTGCTCCGGCGAGCTGCCGCGGCGTGCTACCCTGGGTTTTTGGAATACTACCGTGCCCGCCGGCCGCTATCATCATACCATGGGAGATGCGCACCGAGAAACTCAAGATCCCACCGTGAACTTTGTCCGAATCATTCAAATTCGCCGCTCCCAAACGGCGGTGAGCCGCAAGGCCCCTTTACGACACCACCAAAGCGCCTGTCAGTAGAAGTTGAAAGTCCCCGATCTCTCAAACTCGCAACTTGTGCAGATACCACTGTACCTTCGGTCCAATCGGGCGATCTTGAGAGTCGAGGCCACAGCACCTTGGTTGACACCAATCGAACGGCTGCTGACGAGCCTCCCGCTGCCCCGGCCAATGTCTCACAGCTAAAGCCTTCCCCGGCGAGACTAAGAATACTTCTAGAAGCCTAGAACCTGGAAAGGCCGCACATGCTCGTATTTTTGGAATTGCGTCGCAACTAGCTTCCCAACCTCTTCACATGTGGACTGTGGTATTGATATTCCGACATTCATCGCTGGATATCGCCCGGTGGGTTGGTTCTTATCAGCATGTTTCGGAGCACCGCGCATGTTTGAGAACGCCTGGCCTGTGACACCCTGTCTGTGCTGCTTGCGACGCTGGGAATAGCTTGCGACAGGATGTTCCCACTCTGCTTGTTTCTGACAAATTCAGGGTCCGTCGCATGTGCTACGCAACGCATTCGAGTGCTAAGATTAGATGACAGTAGCAAGAAACAAAACGACATCAGTATGCACATTTGTTTCGCTTCAGGACATTGTTGTTGGGGTCCGACGTGTCCGAAGTGACGGTCCCTGGTCGAACCAACTTACAAGCAACCCAAGCTCCAGATACAAGAAACGCCAAGGCCCCCGAGTCCGTTTTCCCCCTTTCCTTGGCTAGGCTTTTGCTCAACATCAACAACGTGGCGGCTACCTCCTGCTTGGCAGCAGACATAACAAGACGGGCACGAGAATTCCTCGCACACCACTAGGCGCTGTGCCATGAATCGCGGCTCCGCTAATGGAGGGACAACCAAGAGGTCAACCGACTTGGCTTACGCACCATTGGCACGACCTGGGAGCTTGTTTGCTTAGCTTTGGTCGAAATCGTCTCCGACGATGAATCCAACCATACAAGCCACCTTCTCTTCGAGCCGCTAGCCTACCGAACGCCCGCCTGTAGATCGGTCTTGCTCCTGGGTCAGCCATTCGTTCCGGAACTTCTTCGTGGCCCCCAGCTAGGGCAAGGCTGCCATTCCTGCGGTGGCGGCTTTGCAGAGGCCAAGCATCAACATTGACGACCATCGGCTCCATGATGGGCCCGTCTCTACATTCCGAAGTATGTCGTTTGATGGATTTCTCCGCTCACTTCGAGATCCTGGGGATCTCGAAGGCCTTCTTGCAGATCCGGGGATATACGGAGATTGTCCTCCCTTCTCTCACCCGTCGATGCGGGGTTTAAGATCACGACTACATCAGCTGAAAACGATCACAGCCAGAACCCACACTGGCAAGCGCGGAAAGAGAAAAACCGAGCTTACGATTTTCCACAGTGAAGCTTGGCCCAATGGGTATTGTCTTGGCATCTTACGATGTTCAAAGAATGGGCTTGAGGCTGTGTAAGTATCTTATGCAACACGCTTGCCGTGATGCTGGTCTCTATCGTCTCTCTGCGTTCAGTCCTCATATTTCTCAACTTTTCTCTGCCGCTTTGCGTTCCTGAGACACAAGCGATTGGTTGTCCAGTGTCTTGCTCGATTCTTTCGCCTTGCATATCGCGAAAAATCGAGGGCGGAGCTAATCGGAGCCTTCCGGAGGAGCCGCCTCGGTCATGTACCTGGATACTGATGGTCCGCTTGTCTCTTTGCGAGAAGTTGTGACAATAAGCGAGATCAGTGAATAGGGGACATAATTTGAGTTTATTAGTTGGCACGAAGTCCTCCGATAAGTTTTCGTCTGGGAATGGGGTCATCTAGCCTGGTCAGCGACTGTCTTCTGAATGACTACGCCCCTTCCATCATGCCCTATCAGATTCTGCATTGCAAACAACGCATAGAGTACCGCTTTCCCTGGTTCAGGAACTTCAATCTCCTGGAAGGTTGGATGGTCAAATGTATTTGTGAAGGCGGCGTGTCCATACTCATAGTCTGGATAACCATGAGCCAGAATCAGTCCCTTTGCAAGTCCTACTACGACCCTACAACATCTGCTCCTTCGGGCATCTACAGATCCCAATGTACTACTTCTGCACAATATGTCTCTTCTAGAATAAGTAATCCGCAAGCAGGGCGAGGTCTTTGACAGGCAGTCTTGTAAGTTCATCGATTTATTTCATTTTTCTTTTTTGCCCAATCGTCACAAAACGAACACAAAGGAATCGCACGCTCGGTTTCGCGTAGTCAAATCATATGCCATAGTTATGCCATGAATTACTACTGCTAGTACTGTCATTGTAGCGCGAGCCTGCACCGGATATTTCCTCCACCCAGCCATCACCAACTCGACCGACCTCGAAACCCCTCTGGACACCTCAGAATCAGACGTGCTTGAGAAGACCGTTCCTCGAAAATGATTTAGCTTCTCAAGGACCTCAAACCATCAAACTCACGCCATACTCCATCAACTCACTCAATTTGCGTTCCTCCTTGTGCCAAGATGACGCTCCGACTCGTCGGGTCTCGATCCCCATACGAGCTCCTCTGTGAAGACCGCAGCGGCGTAGTCCGTCTCGTCGCTGCAGACGCATTCGCAGTTCTCTCCCTCTTCCTCGGCACGTACACGGCAGGCCTCTTCTCCCATTCCTGTCTACGACTTGCATCGTGATGCAAAGTCTTCTCAGCTGCCCTCCGCTGCGAAGAAGTCTCGGGCGCTGATAGACTGCGCTGTCGGCGATCTCCAGGCGGTGTTGCTTTGGAGCTTTTTGTCTTGCCACTGACTCCTTCTTTTCCCCGTGTGACCGTTCCTCTTGACCCGTGGAGGTCCCTCCATGGAGCTATTCTTTCAGCCCTTCGTATATGAGGTGGCTCGTCGTCACGGTCATTGTCGTCGAGGAGGTCCAGAGTAGCGAGCCATTCCTTTGCCTCGCGGGCGTGCTTCTCTACTAATGCGGCGCGCTTGAGATGAGGTCTCTGTGAAGCTTGTATTTCCTCAGCCGTCAGCACGCCGCCTAACGTTTCGTTCTCGCCCATGATGATACCAATACCGGACATGATCGCCACCAACGCGAAGTCGTCGTTCAAGAAGGGAGTCTCTTTTGCGTTAGGGGGAATGGCAGCGGAGTTGAGGAATCGGAATCCTGTTCCAAGGTACGGTCGCGAGGGGTCAATTGATATCATGGCGACTAACTCTTCGTCTACTTTGGCATAGCCTCCCCTTCCGAGATACGACTGTCGTGGAGCTCTCAGGATGCGAGTCTCGTCGGGCGTGCGTTTCCGCTAGAGAAGCCACCCGTCTGAAAGGCGTAGTGTCCGAATAGATAACCCTCGACTATGCCTCCATTCGAAATCGACATCGGTCGTCATCTCCGCCCAACAAGGATCCCGAAGACGCATCGTGAAGCGCCATAGGCCCTGATACCCTCTCCCGCGGATGATACGGCTGAAAAGCGAGCGGAAGCCCAGAGCGTTCCCTTGTCGACCGCGGTCTTCGTGGAGGAGGATCTTGGGGGTGTCGCTGGAGTTGCTTTCACGGCGGCGGGGGCGCGGAGGGAGGGGAGACTGCGGTTGTTCGAGGTGGACTTGCATGGTGCGACGGGTCTTCTAGCCCGGTAGGCTTACGAGGCGGTGGGTGAGATGCGCGATGATGGGCGCGGTGGAGAAGGGGCCTGCGTGGATGTTGATGCCGATTGCGTTGTCTGTCTCGGAGGGTTCGGCGTCGTGGGAGAGGTAGAACAGGGGGTTGTTTGCTGTTTCGGCGAGGCCCGAGTCGAAGATTGAGAAGATTGGTGGGAGGAGGCGGGGGATTGGGGAGGGCATGTTTCTTCACGTTTCTCTCTGTCCTTGTGTAGTTGGTAGATGGGTCGATTGCTCATGTTGAATGACTGATTGGAGGCTCCATGATGATATTTGTTGTGCTTTGATCAGCTTCCGAGACGGCTCGAATGAGGATGGAAATGGGTTGAGCCGGTGATACCTTGGGAAGCCTTCTTACCTGGGAGGAAGGTACCTAGGTATCTTAGGTACTCAACGTGTTGCAATGTCCTGAAGGCGTCAGTGTCCTCGCATACATGATCGATTCAATGCCTTCCGTTCAAATCCAAGTTTTCGTTGCCTGGATTGAGTCCTAGGAAGTTGCCACAAGGCAGAACCTGCAAAATGTCGTCCAGCCATCCTGTCAACGGTGCCGCTGTGGGGTTCGTCCGGCAGCCCTGCAGCACACCCGCACAATAGATCGAGTCTTCACGGTCTATGCGCGGACGTGATATCGAAATCCTTTGCGCATGATTGCATTATTGGCTGTACTTCAGCGATTCAGCCAATTCCGTCCTGTGAAACCCAACGTGACGCCCACCTCGGAAGCGGTCGGCCGACCACCTGCATCTGCTAATTGGAATCAAAAGGTACTCTGTTAAGAATCAATCATGCTACATATGAAGTCGGGTACCGTTTCCCGTCTACTCAGCTGTGATGAATCCGGGATATCTCCGAGACACAAAGGTATGGTGGCTAATCGGACGGCCATTGCCATTGCACGATAGGATATTGATCTAAGACATCAACGACTGTTAGGCGTCGAAGAATGCGAAGCCATTCAGCTGAACAATTGTCATGAAATTGCATCACGGTTGCCTCAGCCCTGTCCAGACTGGGTAGCAGGAATATTGGCATTCAAGCTAGAGTCATCACATATTTTGAACATCCCTCGGGTAAGGTAAGTGTAATAAATAAGTTGGGCATGTGGTATTGCCCGGCCCGGTTCCTTGAAGTATGAAGTTCGGCTTAAAAACCCCTCTCTTCTCTTTCCATTCGTCACTTCTTACTTTGCCCTGCTCTCGGGGCTTCTTCTCCCTTTCCACTTGCCTGGCAAAGAGCTCCCCGTCCCCAATCCACTCTCAGGAGAGTAACCGACTACAACGTTTCTTCGATAGACCAAGTTCGCCTCCACGATGAGAGCTTTATTTTTGATATTGGTTGGCTTGGTATCCAATGTAGCAAGCCAAGATTACAGCAGGGTCTTGCTAGGATGTGGCCAACCTGGCAACTTCCAGCAGACCTTCACCTTGTTCTCCACCAATTCTGCCAACAGCGTAGAGTTTTGCCGAACAACTTGCTTGGTGAACAACTCTCGTTCGTTCGGCGCGCTCTTCAACGACCAATGTTACTGCAGCAATGCAGGTATCGCCGCTATCCAGTTCACACCTGACAGCAACACTAATTGCAACATCTTCTGTCCCGGAGATAACTCCGTTAGATGTGGCGGTGCTGTCAGCTCTGCTCAGTATTTCAGCGTGTACGGCTTCAATCCCAGAGCCTCAGACTCTTCCAGCTCGTCCAGGTCATCGACCCTGACAACTTCCTCAACATCCACCGACACAGGTAGCACAACTACTACAGGAACGAGCGGTACTGATACCTCAACAACTCTGACCTCGTCATCATCCAGTACCTCGAGCTCCTCAAGCAGCGGGTCAACAATCATCGTTACAGACTCTAGCACTACTTCTCCATCTTCACTCGTCTCCACCTCGACATCCTTGACAAGCTTCAGCAATACTTCTACAACTTCAACGCAATCATCAACTACCTCTTCTTCGAACTTGGGAACAACTTCATCCACCAGCACCTCCAACACCGATAGCTCCAGGACTAGCACGGGGCTTTCTACCACCTTGAGCGTGAACCCAAGTGCGAGTTTGAACGCCACAAGTAGCAGCGGAACAACGGGCTCTTCCTCTTCATCCTTCACAGGCTCTTCCTTGACATCCGGGAGCACAGGAACGTCTACTTCTACGCCTTCCGCCACTGCCAGCACGACCAGTAGCAGTGGGAGCTCAGGATCATCCGTCATATCAAGCTCCACTACAGTCATTAATTCTTTGTCGTCTGTGACTTCTTCATCTACGATTCCTGGCTCTCCGATATCAAGCTCAAGTTCAAGCCCCTCGACATCCGCGACCACACCAAGCACTAGCCAGACGAGCATCCAATCGAGCACATCCTCTGCATCACAAGCTTCTTCCTCTGGGGCTCTGTCCACGTCGCCTACAATATCTTCAACCACTGGGATAACAAGCACTGCCTCAACTTCTCAGATTACTGCCAGCTTTGTTCTCACTGTTTCCGTCTTGCCTGCTGCCACTGCATCGGCTGGTTGAGTGATATGATGTGTCAAAGGAAAAGGGGATAGCACGAGACAAGCAGGGGAACGACAGCAAACCAGTTGAGTACCCTTTGGCGTCGGGCATCTGAAGAGAAGTCTTTGTGGCGATAATTAAACCATAGAAATGGGGGTACGGACAATTCATGTAATTCAATTTGTGTCACGAGTTATGGCACGCAGCAATGGGCATACGGAGTGTGGTAAAAGTGGCTTAACTATCAAAGTGGAAATAGACAAAAGGAAAAGGTCTATATACACGATGTCTGAGATAGACACGTGATTCAGCACGTGACGGGCACTTCGTGAGATGCGGTTACTATCCCTAATACGTGACAATTTGCTTGTATTTGAAGAACAGCACATTCTCAATAGTCAAACAAAAAGATATCACTGCTATGGCCTTGTTGTCCCTAGGCTTGTCGAGTGTATATTAGAAGCCGATCTTATCATTCTTACGTATGTTATCCATGCTTGATCATTCGAACCTTCAATTCTCATCGTTGGTACGGGGTCTATGATAGGTGTGGCTACAACATGCTTCGCAACGACATACGTTGAGCAGTTCAACCAAGTCAATTCCACTGAGATTGATTGAAGTAGGTATGTTTATTGATGTTGCAGTATTGCGCACAGAGGTAATGACGGCTTGAAACTGGACTAGACTAAATTCCACATAATTGAGAAAGTCGATAGGTATCAATAAGTACTTAGATTGGTAAAGGCATTGATTCACGAACTTTACCTAGAAAAACATGTTGTCTTGATGACTCTACACGGCCTAATGCTTGAACGAAGGGGTTAAGTCGCATTTCATGCTTTTCAACTGGCCATGCAGTCGAGTATTGCAACTTGAAGATGGAAGATAGTGTAACAAGATGTGTTTCCTGAGTAGTCACAGGCATTTACTGATGATTCGAGGCCGAGGGCTCTGTAAACATCATCAAGAGCTATGATATCCTTCAGGTCCCAGGAGTAGTTTCCTTGATCTTTCATACCAGCTATTGAGGATAATACATAGACCGTGACTTGGTATCGATCAATGTCTGTTTCATTCAAGTCGATATTGTTGGAAAAGCGCATTATTCCCCATATCTAGTAACGACCTTCTCCGTTCTTGGCGGAAAGTGACTTTGGCAATCTTTACTCTAGAGTATTGTATCCAGCTCCATATGAATTATTTTACAACTCCTATTGCACTGTTGTGAAGAGTTGTGTAGCGGGCTTTCGATTTGTCATCCAACCACAACCCAACACACTTGGTAACCAAAGACAACAGTCATTCAGCACAATAGTCGAACCATGGAGAGATTAACAAAGCAACCACTGACTCTCCGTTGCCATAGCATTATTCTCCCGCCGACAACAGTCTCCTCGTCGTCAGCGATCAACACGGGAGAATGTTCGATGGATCCCCCTGAGATGAAGGAAATTCCCCGATTTGATCCACACGTGCATGCTGTCTGCGAACCGGATCCGCCCCAAAGTTTCTCAGCAGCACACGGACCGTCGATGGCCCATCTTGAACAAGCCTCGTGGGAAAGGGACAGGGCCCAGGGGACCATGCATCGTTGGGCTGCGACGGGAGATTACGCAGTCTTACAACCCGACTCTACTGGGGGACGGGGGCTTCAAGCTCCAACAGCAAGGGGTTATTTGCCGCAGGTCTCGAATGTGACCAGTCGATTTTCTTTCTTCTACCTTGTTTATGAGAACCATGTGGATGAATGACTGGTTGCGGACTTCACGATGGCTTCATTTCCAAGGACAGTGATGCCACTGGAACGTCCACCGGTATAGCCGAAGCCCTGCACACCAACTTTTTACAACTTGGCAACGAAATGAGGACGGCTGCCAATATCATGCTTCAAGGGGTGCACCGAACTTTTCTTCCCTTGCCGAGTCTTAGTTACCAGGTCACGAAAGTAAGAAAAGAATGAGAAAAAAGCATAACTGTTCCTGATATCAGGTGGGCCCGGGAGTGTGGTAAGTTGCCGCGGACCCGTGGCGTAGCGGCGTGGGGGTCGCCCATGACGGTGTGTTGCATTCGGCTTAGACGAGCCATCACGGTAGGTGACATTTGTCACCGCACGAGAAACAGGTCGGTCAAGCTTTTTCACGGCGATGTGTTTTGGCTACCTCCCTGGCCGTTTTCCTGCGGCCACCTTCCTATTCGTGCCTTGATGTTCTCATGTCTTCGTGGGTTGTCGGTGGGTAGCATTGATATCGGCCCTACGGCTAGTTTTGAAACCAAGACTTGACGATGCGGCATAGTCACTGAAGCCCGCCCGGGTTGCAGATGTGACTGAGAGAGAGGTACACGCGTCAACGGATGGCTGTTGAGATGACAGCATCACATGTCGGATGCAATGTTGAATGCAGTTTCGAGATTGCGAACCTTGCCCTGAATCACGGCATGCTGAGCATGTTGGCCGTGTTGAGTCAACACTGCTGCAGCATCACGAATCACCGATGACATGTTATCAAAGTTTTGCATCGCAGCAAGCCAGCATCTCACCCGTCGTCATGCAGCGTGCCGGTGACCCAAAAGGGGGTGGGAAGCAAAATAAAACAGCCCCCAAATGATGTTGGCCCTTTTGCCCAGCACAGCGCTCGTTTCAAGCTGAACTCTGACTTCTAGATCATCCAATGCCGGATGGCACTTGGAAACGTGTGGTGGATGCTCGGCGCGGACTCACCCGCCGTTGACTAGACTGCAATGCTTCTCACCTGCTGATACATCCATCTTCAAGCTGCTGCTAAGCTAAGATAGTTCGGCCACATCATCAATGATCAGCCCGTAAAACAGAGTTTCTGTTTAGTCCGGCTGCAACTTCCGGACCATCTGCGATGCTGCGATGAGAAGAAAAAAGTGGTTGACACACGAACCACGAGATGGTCCCGATACCGCCCTCGTTTCGGACGGGACGCGGCCTAAAATGGACCATCACCGACCGGACGAAGAAGGTCTCATCTTATTTTAGGACTTGGGCTCTACCGACACAGTTTTTGTTTCCCTGGCAGGTCCAGGGCTCAACGTTCTGGAATCTGTGGAGTTTTTTGTAGCGGAAAATCTTATCGTGTGACAGAAAATTAGGACTTGGGAAATGGTCACAAGAAAGAGAGAAACTCCACTGTTGGGAGAGAGCTCTTCCCTCTATCCGTAGGGGTCTAGACAAACATGCCTCTTCATTTCTTGCGCACATCACGCCAGGGGCACCCGATAGGAGGTGTCGACAGGGTTTACGCCGCTGTGAAAGATGGAAAGTGCGAGGGGGCACGGATAGTCAAATTGCCATGTGTGTGGATCGGGATCATTGGGCTGGAACTTTGAACAGGGCTTCCCGAAGCGTGATGGATATCACGATCATGAGGCGAGGCAGAGATTTAAACCACAATTTGACAAACAATCAGTTGGATCAAAAGGATTTGGAGTCGTGAGGGGTTCCACGCCGCAGCAGAGGCGTGTCAGAGTACATTCTGGCCCCTGGATCCTGGCTTCAAGCTACAAAACCCATTCCTTCCCTCGGATCCTGTACCGAATGCAGCTTAATGGGAAGAGAGGGGAAAGACGGGATAGCTGCAGGACAGTCACAGTTGGGGCCCCGGGGGCGACTTTATTGTGGAATGGAGCAGTTTTTGGGGTTCCGCCGAGGAGGAGAAATGCGAAAAGGCGATGGCGCAGAGTGGTGGGAAACTCGGTCGGATCGCGAAAGTCTTTTTGGAGAAGAGGAGATGGGGACACGAGGGGGAGAAAGAGAAAAAGAGGATATCTCGAAATATGGACCCAAGGCTCGGGATTTCCGGATTAGGGAAACCGAGGAGAGGGACGTCGAGGGGACGTGAACCTGTGAAAGCTGAGTGAGTCGACGATGAGCGACAGGGGGCCCCTTTTTGTCATCACACGGACGAGCGAGACATAAGCTGGAACGGCCGATATATCCACTCACGGCCGCCTAGTGGAGAGGTCAAGAAGAGTATCCGTACGGATAGGTAACATGATTGAGTGTCCGTGGTTGGGAACCGACGAGTACGCGGGCTGAAGACGATGGATTTCGGTACCTTGCGCAAGGAAACAGGCGAGGAAAGAGGAGCTTCGTCTTTGCAGCTTGCTTGGAATCAGCGGAATCCGGTGTAGAGCTTCTCAAGGCTTGAGAGGACGACCTGGAGCTTGGAGGGGTCACCCCATCTTCCTCCCGTCGCGGCAGGGCGGTCTAGAACGGCGGCCGAAACTCTTTCTTGCGGTGGGATGGATGGGGTGTGCGTGGACGGGTCTGATTCACGATGGTTGATGCTCCTCCCGGTTCCGGTGTCCCGGGCGGCACGGGAGGGCGGGCAAACGCATACACGCAACGCACGGCACACACGCACGCACACACATCTGTGGTGTCAATCACGACTTAAGTTCGAATGAGATTGGCAATCTGTGTTGGCAACGTCGGTGCGCGGCATGAGTGATGGACGGCGCGCCGCATGGATGTTGTGATAGGGGGGTGCTTAGTAGGAGGGGGGGCCAAAGATGGTGAACGGGCGTCACAGCCTCACTCAGGATAGAAACAGCAGATCGGTCATCGGTGGACATATTATGGTCGCGACCGTTGCCGTGGTAGTGTAGTGTAGTAGTTCTATCAGATACGAGGGTTACGCGCGTAGACTCGTAGCTTGTAAGGGGAGTTTTGCTGACCGAGGACAAAAGGTATGATAGATTGGATCGTTCGAATGACGAAGAACAACAAGTACCGACGACAGTGAACCTTGGGACGAATCAGGATCGCCAACTCAAAGTCAGATCACAATTCCAAGGAACGCTGTACAGATGTTCATGTGATAGTGGGGTCTGTTTTACATCATCGAGTAAGGGCCGTTGTACGTTCCGTCCTTCGTTCGAAGGGGACCCGGAAGATCAACGAGCCAGTTGGAAAACGGACAGCAGAGCCTCTCGAACGTATCACTCTAGGTGGTGTCCTGTCAAGGACGCATATCAAAGAATAGCAACAGCAGAGAATGTGACGGTAGGAGCCAAGCTGAGTTTGGACATGGACCTTCGTTCGTCTCTCGCTAGGCGGAGTTAGTCGGCCATCCGGGAGGGTGGGAAAAAGGGGGGGCGTGTGGGATGGTCATGTTTTTGTCGATGCTTCACCGTTCTCCCCTACGTCATATAGTCTCGCCATGGCGCGTCGACCGGTTTTCGCAACCGCTGGCACCGGTGGCTCGGGATGGACGCAGGCGGCCGCGCGAGCGACGACAGGCGAGAGAGAGAGAGAGGGCTGCAGTGCTGCACAATTTTCTTTGCATTTTTTGCCATTGGCTAGGTTCCGCGCTTCGGATGTTTGGCCCGGGAGACAATGGGCGGACAGATGTGAACACTGCAGACTGCAGTCCGCATAGGGGCTAGCCAGCGCAGAGATGCTCTGCCAGATCGGGGGTTTCCATTCTAGCATACGCCACTCCAAGCCCAGCAATGACAATGCCCGCCCGCGGCGGCGTCAGGGGTGCCATGATGTTCGGCCAGGGAGCTGCCCTGATTGTTTCGTCTGTTTGGCTTTTTGGAGCCCTGGAGCTAGCAGGGGACGGAGGGGTTCCGATGGCAGGCTTCGGAGTCATGCGAGAGATGACAATTTCTGGAGGGGGAGTTTTTGTTTTGAGAGGTTCTTTTGTGAGAAATCAATGCGTGTGTGTTCGAATGGGACTGTTTCTGATAATCCATTACCCGCCCAGGTACGCCGTTGATGACGGGATGATCTCGAAACGGGAGGACACTGTGACACATGGCAGGTTTACAGCGAAAAAGCTAAGATTTGGATGAGCGGTGATCTTAGGGTAGAGCAGTTCGGTAGCAAATGATGTGTGTCTGAGCTGACACGAGCAGGTAATACTGGTACTGGCGAACAGGAGTGAGAGTGACGAGTGAAGAATGAAAAGGAGCATTCCAGAGAGAAAACTCAAACCAAGGCGGCGAAATGACGACTACTGGAAAGGTTATGGCAAATAGCAAACAAAGTCTCGGCCGGGCGCATTCTGTTATCTCAATCGGCCCTACGAACATCGAAGCAACCGATTGGGATACAAGATTGGTTCATCGATCACATCTGCGACAGCACTACGGCAGTGGTTGCTTCTTCTTCATGTGCTCGCTGGCTAGCCATTCGTAGTTCTCTCTCACTCTCTAATCTGTCTGACTCTAGCCGCCGCCCGTGCTTGGACCTACCACACCTCCGAAGTGCTTCCCGTCCACACCCTCTCTAACCTCTCACAGGGAACATGGCTTGAACACACCCTCCCCCTTTGGGACCCTTTTAGGTGTCCTCAAGGCCCAGAACGGGCACCGGCGACGGGTCGACGGACCTAACATACTATAGCGGAACGGCTAAGGTAAGTCAGATCGCGCCAGAGACGTTCTGTTGGGAACGCATGGAAGGAGTTGGGATGCCAATGCCCGTTAGCTTGAAAGGTTTTCTTCGTTCAACCCGTGGCTTTCGGAGTCTCTGGCAGGGGCTACTGCCGGAACATTGCCGGCCGGACTCGGTGTTCGCTGTTTAACAACGAGACTCTATATGAGTTTGACAGCATCTGAGTTTTCAAACCGCGTTTTCAATGTTCACAGAGAGACGCGTCCGTGGCGTTAAATTGGGTCTCTCTTGATAGTTTGAAGGCGAACTCATGCCGACGCCGGTGACACGGAAGCCTAGAAGCAGTTCATGTACGCTTTATGGAGATGAGTAAGAGATTGATGTGCGCACCTCACCTCCTTGACTCAAGTGTCCTCACAACGTTCTCGACTCCTGTGCTCCTGTCATTTCACACATACAGATACGGGCAGTCAGGCACACGGGGCTCTCCTCACTGTCGGCCGGCCCATTCTCAGGTGAGAGAGGATTATCCGTACGAACTTGAAAAGGGCCAAGAGAGGTGCGGGTATGGCGCGCGTAAAAGACACAAGAGACTCGACTGATAACGACGACAGCGAGTCCACTGCGTCGTCTTGGTGCAGGCACGTGTGACGCGAGACAAGTGCGCTAAACAGCTCCAGACGGTCTGCGACTGTCGTGAGAACAGGCAATGATAGGCGCCTGGTGGTACGAACAGCTTAGCAGAGCTTCAATTTAGGGCAAGTCGGAAGCGCAGGGCTTCGGCAAGCTGCGAAAGGGTACTCCGTAGAGAGGTGAGGGTGTTGGAGGGAGGGGGAAGAGGGGTGAGCTGATATGACGGCATGGGGGTCACCGACGCAGGCACTGGGGGTTTAGCTGGGCTGCACACACACTCTTTTTACAGAGAATGCACAAAATGGACGGCTAAGGGTTCCTGGCAGGGATGGCGGGAACCTTGGAGGGCTGGAGGGGAGGGAGGGGTGGCATCTTGAAGGCTCAATCATGTCCTTCAGAGAATCTGACTTTGACGCTGGTGACCGAATCTCTCAGTTTTGTGTGTTCGTATGACTCTCACTCTCATTCAGTAGTATTACGCTCACTCGCCCTCTTACTCACTCATGTCTGTACACTCACTCACTCACTCACAGTCTCTCACATCAAACTCTTCACTCACTGTAAGGTATCACTGTATCACTGAAAGAACGGGAAGGTGTGGCGGTCTTCGATAGGGGTTTCCGCGGCAGGATCCACTCTTTCTAGCACAATGCCATTTCTAGCGCAAGGGAAAAATCCTCGACGGCGGCAAGAGCTGCACACTAAGCAGGTACGTATCGCAAAGATACACAGGTACCTCTCGGCGCGTTCCCTTCCATTCTGCCGGTGCATTTTGCCTCAGGTTGCCTCTTCCCTCCATCTTGTCGCCTTTGCAAACTCGCAGGCCGCCGCAAAGTCGAAACTGCATGGCAATATGCAAGCTCTTTGCACCAACGATCCAATGATTCCGGCATAGCGATCAATAACATTACTCGACACACACTTCCTCTTCTTAGCCACACACTCGATGCGGCTCGAGGCTGGAGCTTGCGCACTCTTATCGCCGAATCCACCCACCACAACATCGTCTCGAACTTCTCTCCACTTCTCTCTGACGACTGTTGTGGACCCTTCGTGTCTTTTTCTCGCTCGCCCTTCCATCCCTCACACGGCGTTCCCAGTCAGCGTGCCAGCACCCTCCACTTCGCTCGCTCTCGCGCCCCGCCAGCCGAGAGAGTCCGTCTAGCTTGGCCAAGGTGCCATGGACGAGCAGCAGGGTCACAGCCCACTCTTCGTAGGGCCCGGCATGGCGAGGCGTGGGATTGTCAATCATTCATGTCCATGATGGGTGTGGTGACGGAGCGTGGGACCATGGGCGTGAACGTGGATATCGACGTCAAACATGGTTCAAGGTCAATCTTCTCCACCACCATTACAGACCACAGACACACAGCTGCAAATACTCTGTTTTCTACAGATGTACGGATACGCCGTGGCGTACAAGTGTATGGATATGGATACCACAGAGCAGAGCCGTCAATCTTGCGTGATAACGCAGAGGCGCACCAAACACGCCAATCCTCTAGCACCGGGGCCGAGAAACACCACTACGGTCACCACGCTCCAAGCAAGGAACCGGCGACGAGTCGACTACGGGCCCGTGGAGCCTCCCGGTCTGCTCGTTGCCGTTTCTGTTGCTGTGTTTTCCTGGGATCTGCTTTCCTCCGCTCGATTCTCAGCTGTAGCTTCTCCAGTTCTTTCTCCCTTCTCCGTCTTGTGTTTTTCGCCATTCATTACGTCCCGTCTCTCCGCTCCTTCCGCCTGCTTTCCAAGCTTCTCGACTCCATTGATCATCCCCTCCTCGCCCTCCTCCTCTTCCTTGACCTCCTCCCACCCTCCAAACCAACTTCAACTAGCTTTCCAACTTCCTCACATAATGGCGCCTACTTTCCGCGAGTGCTACCGCCGTGAGGTCCACTGATGACACTACCCCACGATAACGACAACACTATTCATCCATCGATATCTGGATACTTGACTCGATATACCCAGAAAACCTGCATCTTCACCAGCAGCTCTAATCCATCCAGTCACGACTATCTTGTATAGAGGCTCTTGTACCACCACCTGCGATATCTTCAAACTCAATTGAGGACAATCGAGCTGAATCAACCAACAGCCTGGAAACGGCGATCGTTTCCTCTTTAGACAACATGTCAGGCTCGCCTCAAGAGTCCGGCCAGACGAGCTCCGGCTCCAGCAACACACCGCCGAATCCTTTCGAGAATCCAGCACAGGAACAGCCCAAGCTTCGAACTCCGCCATTGCTTCACCCTTCGTCGGCAACACCGCAGGCTCGAAAAGAGAAGAAGGAGAAGAAGAAGGTTGGCTTCCATGCCGACAGCCCTCAGCCTAGCCAGACACCCCTGGTAGACAATCGGCCACCAAGCATCGTGATTGACGATGACTACTTCGCGCAGTCAATGTCCCCCGAAGTTAACCCCTTTGATACACCTGGACGCATTGCTACTCCAAGACGAGACAACGACGCAACCCCAGCGGGAGCTCCAGATGCCGGTGAGCTACGTCGTGCTTTAACCCAGGTCTTGATTTCGGAGAACCAGGAGAACAATCCTTCCGAGACACCTGCCCGGCCCCGGCCCGTGCTCCGCCGTAACACCAGCTACGATGCACCCGAGGAAAGACAGAAAGCCGACCTCGCTGAGCAAACTGCCGGCGAGCGGCAGCAGCGTTCGGGTTTGGAGGCCCGCCAGCGTGCCAATCGCTTGGCTGTAAGTGTTGAGAACTACTCCTCACCCCCTTCCCGTCGCAACTCCATCGACGGATACAACCCATTTAGCGATGATGAGGAAACCGATCACGTCACCGGCTTGAGCTCTGCGGTTGATGGGTCGGATGAGCGACGAAAGGTCCGGTCCCGTCCCAGAAAGAACTCGCACTTGGATGCCGAGAATCTCGTCCGATCTCACACCAGGAGAGCCAAGAAGGGTGGCCGAGGACCGAATGACTACTTCAAGTACGAGGCGCCTGCAGGTGCCCGATCTGGCACCGCCACGCCCACTTTGGAGCAGTCTTACGCTCACGACTATGTTCCGCCCCCGAAGCAGTATCACGGAGGCATTCTATCATCGCTCCTCAAGCTCTACAACGAGAATGGCAGCGGCGGTAGCAGTGGCCGAAACACGCCGGGTTCCAACACACCAGCTACAGCTACGCCCAATCACTCGCCTCCGGGCTCTATGCCAGCCTCCGCTGCGCCCTCAACCCCTGGATCACCTCGGCCTTCTCGCCCCAACAGTGGCCTGTTCAACTACCACAAGAAGCAAGGCTCTCGTTCCTCCATGGCTCTGGCTGAGCTTATGAAGTCGTCGTCCGCCATGGCAGGGCCGGCTTCGAGTGTGTTTAGCCAGGGCTTCACCGAGAAGCTCAAGACGGAGCCCCCGTCACGGCCGAAGAGGAAGAAGTCTGGAGTCTGGGGCGGATCTTCACCAAAGTCATCAAAGTCTGAAGACAAGCACCGCATTACTAAGCACATTGCTCAGATCTTGTCGAGGCATAAGTATCTCGTCAAGCTGTGCAGGGCGCTGATGATGTACGGAGCTCCAACCCACAGACTGGAGGAATACATGAAGATGTCGGCACGAGTCCTCGAGATCGAGGGTCAGTTCCTCTACATTCCCGGCTGTATGATTATCAGTTTCGACGACAGCGCGACACACACCACCGAGGTCAAGATCGTCCGCTCGGCACACGGTGTCGATCTGGGCAAGCTGCGCGACGTGCACGACATCTATAAGCAGGTTGTCCACGATTTGATCAGCGCCGATGAGGCTACCATCATGTTGGAGAGCATCACAGCTCGCAAGCTCAAGTTCGGCAATTGGATGCGCGTGCCCGTCTATGGCCTCGCCAGTGTGTGTGTCGCCCCCTTCGCCTTTCAGGGACGCTTCATCGACTTGCCCATCGCTTTCATTCTTGGTTGCATCCTGGGCTGGATGCAATTGATCCTTGCCCCGAGCAACGAGCTGTATGCGAACGTCTTTGAAATCACCGCCTCCATCGTCACCTCCTTCTTGGCCCGCGCCTTCGGCTCCATCAACAACGGCGAATTATTTTGCTTCTCCGCACTGGCGCAGAGCTCCATTGCCCTCATTCTTCCAGGTTACATGGTCCTCTGTAGCAGTTTGGAGTTGCAAAGCCACAACTTGGTCGCCGGCAGTGTTCGCATGGTTTATGCAATGATCTACACGCTCTTCCTCGGATACGGAACTACGATTGGCACTGCGCTCTACGGCATGATCGACCGCCACGCAGAGTCGAGAACGACCTGCACCAACCCGCTTAATAGGAATTGGTACCTGTTGTTTGTGCCGGGCTTCACCCTCTGCCTCTGTATTATCAATCAGGCCAAGTGGAAGCAGACACCTGTCATGATCACCATCTCACTCGCCGGCTTCCTCGTTAACAGCTACTCGTCTGACTTCTTTGTCGGCAACGCTCAGATCTCGAACATGCTTGGCGCCCTTACCGTGGGATTGCTAGCTAACCTCTACTCCCGCCTTGGCCGCCATGCTCACAACTATTTCCTCGACTTCCTCGACTGGTGGGATCTTCGCATGGCCCCGCGCTTCGTTAGCGCTAGCCGCCGTCGCAACGAGCGTCCTCGTCCGGAAATGTACCAAATGTCTGGCCAAACCGCCGGAGCTGCCGGTCCCACTGGCGTCCATACCCCCGGAGAGAACACTCCCGAAGGATCGGCGCCAGCAACACCCACCACCACGGCCTTCTCTGAGAAGGACAAGGCCCAAGGTGTCGTCCCGGAGCGGAAGCGCACCGTCGGATATGGACTCGCTGCCGCCGCTATGCTTCCAGCTATATTTGTGCAGGTCCCTAGTGGTCTCGCGGCTGGCGGGTCATTGTTGGCAGGTGTCACGTCGGCTGATCAGATCACGAACAATAACGGTACTTCGACATCAACCGACAGCTCAGACCTTAACAACTCGGCCTTTGCGGTTCTTCTTAGCGTTATTCAGGTCGCTATTGGCATCACCGTTGGGTTATTTATGAGCGCCCTCATGGTTTACCCTCTGGGTAAGAGAAGAAGTGGCCTACTCAGCTTCTAGTTAGTGCGATTTCACACGGTTATACCGGCATGGTCTTGGCTCTCGCCACTCTTTGGGAAGCCCTTCAACATTCCGAGGTGGAAGCACGAGCCGGATGTGGAGTTGGGGTTCGCGGCAGAGAGCTGGGCACAAGAGGAGGATTCGTTGGCGTTTAAGAAGGCGTATAGAAGGGCAAGCATATGAAATAGCACTGTGGCGTTTGTCGGTAGCGTTCGTTTGGATTTGGTTGGATTCACTTTGTTCTTTCAAGCATTGGCCACGGAGTAACAGTACAAGACGTCGGATCTTGGCGGTGACAAATACAGCACTAGACAATATGAAGACTATAGACGTAGAGATAGAACAACTGGATTCGAGCTCAGCTCTCCATACTTTATGTTTCATCCTTTTGCTCTTTCTGACTTGCCTTTGTCACAAGTTCGATGTTGTACACCTCCCTTGTGTTTCAATGCCGCTACCACAGGCAGTTGTAAGAATATTGGCGAGGGCAAGCGACGCTATCAATTTCGATTACGGTGACTTCTAATGCTCCCATGACGCATAGGGTAGGGAGGTTCATAGGCAGAATCCGGACCAGCTGTTGTTGAACCATTCTTCTTTATTCAGACTTAACACCATGTCACGATTATTACCAACCTCTTCGGCCTCGATGCCGAAGGAAATGCATTTATCGTTTGCTGATGCCATGGAACCAACTCCCACCATACTCAACTCCGATGGTGATGATGCCCCAGCAAGGTCCTCGATGAGCAAGTTGGCGCTCAAACCTTGCTGATAAAGAGAAGAAGATGGTGCTTTACCCTCATAAAGGTATACGATAATTGATCTGGTGGTGTACCCTAGGAAACGGTGTTGTACCTTGACGGCATGTAGGAGGCTATATAATTCGGAGCATCTCCACCAAATTGTTTGATTAATCTGGGAGAAAAACCACTCACTCCTGTCTGGTACAACCCACTAGTATTCGGTTCACTCTCTACGTTCAGAGGCTCTCTAGAGTTCTGCACAATACCACTTCACCACATTACCGAACCATCAGAGCTTGATACTTTATCAGACAGAGTCGGCCCAGCTGTTCTACAACTTACATGCTGTCACTCTTACAATTCACAAAAAACACCAACTACACCTCATCACACTTCCTGGTCAGAAGTTCACAGGCTTCTCAGCCAATCTCATCTACCTCTACCAATACTCCTCAGCCTCAGCAAACCTGGTCAGGACTACAGAGTCTTCTCCCCAGTTCAACCCATCTCACCTCACTAAGCCCATCACCCTCACCAAACAAACAAACATCCACAATGCTCCGTATCTTCAACCACATGGTCCCCTACCCCCGGCCCAAGGGCTTCCTCGTCCCAGACCCGGAAGTCTACAAAGGCCTGGACGCAATCCAACAGCATGGCACCGCCACGTCAGACCTCGCCCAGCGCACAGGACGCGTCCGCTGCCTCGCGATCACGCAACAGGATAAACTCCGCGAAGAGCTAGCCTACCTCAAAGAGTGCCAGCTCCACGATCACGCGCGCATGGACGAGGACTACGGCATGAGGATGCAGGGCTGCAATATGCAGTTCCGGCCTGGTGGACTCGGTTCTGGTACTGCTGATATATACCCGAGGAAGATGTCGAATAATGACATCTTGATGGCGAAAAGGATTGAGAAGTGCTATCGGAGGCGGATGAAGGAGTTGAAGGAGGAGAAGAGGAAGAATGCGATTTGGTTGGATTTGTGGTATGATCAGCAGGTTGTTAAGGTTGATCGGTTGTTGAGGAGGGAGTGGGATCAGAGTGGGGAGTGTGAGGGATATCCGTATTGGGCGGCGGAGAGGCGCGAGGTGAAGCGCAAGATGAAGCGCAAGGTGAAGCGTTCTGCGAAGTAAGACTTCAAGGGGATGCGTGGGTACATTCCCTTACGACATATCACGACCGCCGTACGTTCATGAGAATGTGATTGGGTACTGGATACGTTGAGTCGGGTTTGCTTTTTGAGTACATACTACACTACAACTACACTACTGATGCTCATCGAGAGACCGGGACGTACATGTCACTAGGCATGGCCTGTGTTGCAAACATCACGCACACAGAAGAATGCAAGACATTCATAAATATACAAACCACGATTGCCCCTCATAACTATTCTGAAATCACTCGCTGCACTTCTGTTCAAGTTTGCAACTTCCTCTGTGATGTGATCAGACGAGCGGGCCATCTGGGGTCACAGGGCAAGTTTGAGACAGTCGTGGCATAGCATCAACCCAAGGCATTGCTGATTTAACCATCCTCCTAACGAGATTCACCCGGCTCCGAGCAATTCGCCACTTTTCTTAAATCTTTCTTCCTGAAATCACCAGGGATGGCTGAGATATGCTACCGCACCCTGCTTTCAGATAAAACCGCAACTCCTTTTCAGCGGACAGCCTCCCAAGACAGATCAGGTCGATGCCACATAGACTCTGAGGCTTGTAGAGGATGCACACGTTTATGTTTTGGTTCCAATTACCGGGGTTGAACACACTCGCGGAGTAAACTAGATTGATGTTGGGAAGTTGTACTGACGATAGAGGAGGTCTGGAGCAGACTGTAATCAGCCCATTGCAGATAATACGCGTCACGTCCAGTGAGAATGGCTTCTTCAAGTCCCTGCTGCTGGACTTCTACGGTAGGAAGGTAAACCGGGTTTATCATTTTCGGTATTGGTAGAGAGAAAATTACTCAATGCTCCCTTTAGGGCGGCTAATTATTCCGTGTGCTCGATGATGGGCTTCTAGTTTGCCATTTCCAGTCTATATCGTTGTTGAAAACCGATACTGCTAGGAGTCAGAATCGTTTATATGCAGGCGACATCTACACCAACCAATTTTGAGGGAGCCCCAAGAATTACCAAGGAGTATACCTTAGGTTCGACAGAGAATCATCGTTAATTTTGAGGAATGTCATCGACATCTCGACGATCTTGACTTAGACTTCATGGACGAAGAAGAAGACACTGTTGGGCTAGCATCGCCGGATCTCAGACTTGATGATGCCGCACTATTGGTTTGTGACCATGAGGTCCCTGCATAAACCTTGATCAACAAGCGGTGGGGGTGGTTCAACGTCGAAGACGTTCATCTAGTCACTTTCAACGACGACGGTTTTGAAAATCTCGTCCTCCCTAGTCACAAGAAACAGCTACTCTCATCTTTCATTATGTCTCAGAACTTAGAAGGATTTAGTACCGATGACTTCGTCGAGGGTAAAGGAAAAGGTGTTATCATTCTGCTAAACGGTCCTCCTGGCGTTGGGAAAACATTCACTGCAGGCAAGATATCAACCCCCTCCCCCCCCACACATAACAACCTGAGATCCACCACTGACTACTTGATATAGAGGTGATGGCAGATCACGCTCGCCGCCCACTTCTCACGGCCAATTCAGGCCAATTCATTGGCTCGCCGGCTGAAGTCGAAGTATCTCTAGCTAAACTGCTTCAAAGTGCTACACGGTGGGGAGCTCTAGTGCTATTAGACGAAGCAGATGTTTTTATGCAAGCTCGTAACTTGCAAGATCTGGAGCGCAACGGAATTGTTTCCAGTGAGTATAATATGCCCTCGCTTACGGAGGGAGAAGAGACTCAGTACTGATATGGCCAGTGCTGCTGCGCACTCTTGAGTACTTCGAAGGGACACTGTTCTTAACAACCAACCGGGTTGGAACGATTGATAGCGCTTTCATGTCCCGAATTCACCTGGCGCTCTCCTACGAACCCCTATCCGAAGCAGCGAGAAGACAACTCTGGGATACCTGGATAACACGAGCATGTCGTGGACAGCGTCCTATTTGAGTCAAAAAAGAGCTTCTCGTCCAGTTATCGGTGTTGAATGTCAGTGGACGGGACATCAAAAACATCTCACTGCTAGCTCAAGGATTGGCAAAAACTGGCCAGCGTGATATGGCTTCGGAAGATATCTGGAAGGGAGTTAACGCGATGACACAGTTCCAGGAAGACTTTAGTGTCAGTGTCACTCGTCAAGAGGCTGAAAAGAGATGGGATCCAAAAGTTCCGGACTCGAATCCGATGCCTTCAAAATCATGGCTTAAGACGCTTTACCAGTGGTGGTGGTGATGACTATCTGGATACACGGCAACCAACGGACGGCGGGATGTGTTGTCTTATCGCAACTGGATTACGTTTGGACAATTGCGGCAATTGACGGAAGGCACCGAGGTATAGTGCGGCGAGAAGTACTATTGCCTCGTTGCAGAGACTTGCAAACGTATGGGATTCCTGTGCCGCCTGCGTTTGTCGTATTGATGATGCAGCCATATTGTACGTGGAGAGGAATGGGAGGGTAGGTTTGAGGCTATTTGAAAGAAGGCATGGAGCATTCCCGTTGCATTGTCGTGGAGGCCAGGATTGGACGAGTCAAACTCCCTGTAGGCTTCCATCCTTGGCAGACTTCACCGTGCCCGTGGGAATTGACGTCTAGGAGGTCCCAATTCACAGTGTGATGGAAAATGATACAGTTCTCTTTACACGAAAAAGATACCAGGGCGTATCAAAATGCCCGCAAAGTTGCAGCCTTTTCCCTCATAAGGTAGTTAAACGTCCTGACGTAGCAGGACGTAACTCAGCAGCGCATCATAGAGACACATTCCTTTTCAGCGCAGAAAACAGCTCACAGGCTCCGTGATGTGGATTTGCCAAGAACCGAAATCGCGTTCAGCGACATTACACCCCAAGCAGCATCCAATAACGTCCTCAAAAAACCCAGTCTGAGTGTGCGGGACTGCCGGCCGGGGTAGCATCAATGACCCAGCCAACAGCCGACACTAGCTCCGTTGGGCAGCTCCTAAAGTTCGCGCGGCCTTGGCGATCATGATAAGCTTAAATGCTCCTGCCGCATGCTCTCCATCCCCCGAGAGACTGAACGGTGCTGTGGGCTTCTGAGTAACGGGCTTCCTGTTTCTGTCTACTCGTTGTATTGCGTGCCATGACGGCGAAAGCCGTTGGCATAATGAGATGCCTGTTTGGGGCAACGGGTCCTGCCGCCGTCCTGGCTGATCCTCCACATCCCGCAAGCGATGGGCGGGAGACCGTAGATGCTTCGCTTCTGCTTGGGGTCGCGATGAGCTTATTTAAAGGGGGCTTCTCTCCGGACTCTTGGCCAGAGAGGTTCTCTTGCTCTCTTCGTTGCACCTGCACCATTCATCAACGGACGTCGCTCATCAACCGGACAATCTGAACGATGCATCTCAACGCTGCTCTCGCGATCCTCGCGGCCTCCAGAGTTGCCCTGGCTGCGCCTGCCACTGAGGAGACTCAAGTTGACCCTGCGCTCCGTCTGATCAAGACGTCCGAGGCCGACGCCGGCACCTGGGTCACGGAGGATCAGAAGATTGAGGAGTATGTCAACAAGCACATTGGCTTCATTGACATCACCGACATTGTCGTATGTCTGGACTGTTTCCCATCGATTTATGGATGAAGCTAACCCATCAAAGGACGATGAGGTCTTGGCGGTCCTGTCCACCCCGCCGGAGGAGGTTCTTGAGGCCAGAGTGACATACCCCACCACTCTGTCCCACGTCACCGAGGCGAACACCCTCATCGCGTCAGTCTCTAACACCAACCCCCAAACCTGGTTGAAGACTTTGACCGAGTAAGTCACTCATGAGCCCTAATCCAATCAGCGAGTGCGTGCTGATAATTTCTAGCTTCTACAACCGCTACTACCGCTCCACCTACGGTACCCAAGCCGCCACCTGGTTGTTCAACCAGGTCAAGACTGTTGCTGCTGCCAACTCGGCCATCACTGTCACTCAGTTCACCCACTCCTTCAGCCAGCCGTCCATCATCGTCAAGATTCCCGGAACCAGCTCTGACCTCGGTATGTTCAACTGCCCATCTCTATCTCAGCCTCTCGTGTGCTAACCGTGATCACCAGTCATTGTTGGTGCCCACTTCGACTCCACCGGAGGATCCTCCACTGCCCGTGGACCCGGTGCTGACGACAACGGCTCAGGTGTCGTTGTCATCCTTGAGGCTCTCCGCGTCCTCGCCAACGCCGGCTTCAAGCCCAAGAACACCCTCGAGTTCCACTTCTACGCCGGTGAGGAGGGTGGCCTTCTCGGCTCCCAAGCTGTCTTCGCCAATTACAAGTCCGCCGCAAAGACGGTCCTTGCCTTCGTCAACCAGGATATGGCCGGTTACTCTCCTTCTGGCAAGCTCTCGGTCTACAACGACTACGGTAAGCTCATCACTTATGGATGACATGCACGCATGTAGTAGCATCGCTGACTCCTGATAGTTGATTCTGCTCTTACCACCTACGTTCGTCTCATTGGAACTCAGTACACCGGTAGCGCGCCTACCAGCGACGTCTGCGGATACGGGTGCTCCGACCACGCCAGCGCCCGCTCCAACGGCTTCCGTAAGTTGACGCCAATATTTTGGGAAGTGTGAAACTTGATGGCTAATTTGATCCGACAGCTGCCGCCTACGTCTGTGATGAGCCCATCGACACCTCCACCCCCTACATCCACAGCCCCAACGACGTAAGTTGCCGGCACTCCCACTTAGCAATCGATCAAATGCTGACTTGACATGCAACAGAGCTACGACACTATCCAGTGGTCTGCCGTCCTCCGCCACTCCAAGTTCACCGTTGGTTTCTTGGTTGAGGCTTCTTACTTGTAATTTGTGTAAATATCTAAACAAGCGCAGGGTGATTTCATGTATATACATCCCGACTTGTGTGTCAATATATTACATTCAAGAATGCACATAAGCCACAGGCTTTCAAACTAGTGGAACGCTAAAAGTTATTGTCTTCTTTGTGAACCCTATAGTGTCCGCGCAAAACTGCCTTACTGGGAAGAGTTTCCCGAGGAAACCCAACGAACACTACTACCCCAACCCATCTCCGCCCATCGGACGTGGAGACATGCAGACTCTTTCTGAAAGAGATTCTAGATCGACTCCATCAACCTAGGGCGAACACTTGATAAGCCTAGGGCGTGGGACCCCACTTTCTGCCACATACGGTGGTTTCTATGAGACGCAAGGTTTGCAAGGCGTGGTTGACATGGTTGAATGACTCTTACTAGGTGCATACGCCGTCTTCGGCAGGCATCCCGGCCAGACGGCCTTGGATCCCGAGATACGACTAAAGAGGAGAAAACTTCGTGCACCGAACTGAACGTTCTCTCTGGCACATATCACGTAGTTACCGTCAAATTCCGGAATCGTTCTCGAAAGCCACGATGGGCGCCTCAGAGGAGCGAGATAGAGTGGCCGTGACCGAATCCCACGATGCGCCGGGCGCTATTGAGCTGGGGGCGATGCGCAGTCCGACGAGTTCTCGCCATCACGACCCCGAATCTAGCCCATTGGCCTGGCTATGTGTTTTAGGATCATTTATGTTTCTTTATCCATCATACGGTAAGCGTCTTGATTATACCTTCCTTTCTCTGAGACTATGCTTATGATTCAATATAGGGTTCATGCAATCTGTTGGAACTGTTCAGTCCTATCTCCAGCTACACCAGCTGAGTGAGTACTCCACCCGCGATCTAGGTTGGATCAGCGGAATTTTCACCTCACTTGCGCTATTCCTTGGGATCCAAGCCGGACCATTGATGGATGCCTATGGGACGAAGTGGCTGGCTCCCATCTCCGTGGCACTCTATGTGCCCGTGTTCTTCATCATGGGTGAATGCACGCAATACTGGCACTTCATTCTTTGCTTGGGAGTACTGGGCGGCATCGGCGGTGCCCTCACATCAACAGTCGCTGTGGCAGTTATCGGAAAGCTCTTCAACCGTCGCAAGGGGCTTGCCATGGGAGTCGCCCTGTCCGGATCCTCGTTCGGGGGTGTGACCATCTCGATGATGCTTCGGTCCATCCTGCCTCGACTGGGCTGGCAGTGGTCCATGAGGATCATGGGATTCCTAGTCCTTGGTATCATGGTTCTGGGCGTCATTTGTTTCCTCCCCTACCCTCGCCTGTCCACTCCTGTCTCTGGAGCACCCGTCGGGAGAGTCGGAGCCCTGCTCAATTTCTCCGCCTTCCGCTCCCCTCCATTCGGCTTTATGGCCGGTGGTCTCTTCATGCTGGAATTTGTTCTCTTTGGAATTACCGGCCTGTTGCCTACTTTTGCCATTGCTGCAGGCTTCCCTTCGAACATTGGGTTCTCCCTCGTGGCCATTCTGAACGGTACTTCATGTTTCGGTCGGATCATGACCGGCGTAATCGGCGATAGAATTGGCCACCTCAACATCCTCCTCATCATGATAGGTATTACGATTGTGTTTACCGGGGTCGTTTTCGTGCCTTTTGGAACCAAGCATATCGGTGCTTTGTATGCCTTTGCCGCGCTTTGGGGCTACGGATCGGGATCCTTTCTTTCGAGCACACCAGGTAAGAAATCTCCATGATCTCTATATTGTTGGACGAAACTGCTGACACAGCTTAGTTTGTTTAGGAAAGACTTGCGAGCCAAAGGATTACGGGAGGTACTTGGGTAAGTGATGCTCTTCCATCGCTATCGCCTTCTTTGTTGACTAACGATATGACTTCAAGGCACCATGAACTTTGTAGTCAGTTTCTCGTTGCTAGTAACCGTCCCCATCGGTGGACAGATGCTGGAGAGTATGGGCGGAACAGCGCTCTCGGGATTTTATCTTGCTATTCTCTTCTTGGGCGGTGTTTGCTATTTTGCTGCCCGCTCCCTTCTTCTAGGCGGTTGGCTTACGCTGAGAGCCAGTATTTGAGCACATTTGATATAGAATAACTGGAATAAAGAGGTGGCCTTAACTATGACTAGTTCAAGATACTTAACG